TCTGCATTTTGACTACCTGTATTCTGCTTCTTAGATAGCAAGCTGAATAAGTGTTCCTTTAGAAAGAAGAAAATAGATTTGGGAATATAAGTATTGTACATTCTTGTGGTCATTTCAGTTTTTCACCATTTATCTTCCTTATCTTTCCCCCACAACTCATTTCTATCTTATCATTGAGTCTTTGAAGATCTGATGTTTTAGACTTTCTATGGATAGTTCTTAGGATATGCTGTCAACACCTCACTCAACAACCAGAACACTCTCCCAACTAATCTCTTCGGTGCATTCCATCTTTCATTAATGTACATAGATTTATGAAACAGAGAGCCAGTACTCTGTTTTAGTGTTGCCATTAGCTCTTTCTACTTCATTGACTTATTTAGCTTATGTTATTTTATGTAAAATCCACTATTTCTTAGAATATAATTTGAGTTGGCATTTATGCTTATCTTTTCATCCTGATTTTTAATTTTTTAAAAATCTTTTATTTACTTATTTGTTACAGGCTCTTGTTTCACGGCTTAGACTTGTAGTGATCCTCCTGTCTCAGTTTAGGCACATGCCACCATGCCTGATTTTGGTGGCCAGCTCAGCACAGGGCCAGCATGGCTTGCAGTACCAGGGATCAAACCAGGGTCCTTGCACTTGCTAGGCAGGGGCTTAGACCACTGAGCTATCTCCCCAGACTTCATCCTGATTTTTGATGAGCTGGCAAGAACCTTAATTCTCATCCTTGGTGATTACAGAAATAAAAATTTTTTTTAAAAAAAGAGAACTCTGAATAATTACTTAATTGAACTCCCAAAATGGCTCTCTGTAATTTAATGTTTACTATAAGAACTTGTTTATTTTTAAACATATAATTGAATGCAACTAAAAGAGGAATTCTGGGGAAAGAAGTTAATATCATAAAAACAAGAGTAAATAATTACATATCTTATATATCACTAGGGACTAGTATATCTTAATTTAATAAGCCTTAAAGTTATTTCAAGCTAAATTAAGATCTGTTTGATTCAATGATGTCATTAGTGGTATTTCTTTTATGATCCCATTTTCCCAGTTATAAATTGATATATTAATATTCTTATTTACATAATAGTCTCTGAGTTGTATTAAGTATGATCAGTTTCACAGACCCCATTTATACTGATTTGTATTAAGCATGATCAGAGCCCCATTGATGGGGAAGTTCAAGTCTGCCTGCCTGCCTGCCTGCCTTGCTTTGCTTCTTTTTCTTTTTCTTTTTCTTTTTCT